TGGACTTCACAGTTTATTTGATGGGAAATAATTATTTTAATTGCCTCGTTCCTCTAGGGCCACTGTTCCTCTGATCCTGGCTGGACTTATATCCGAGTTTAGCAAGCATGGCGAAGGCAGCAGCTTAGCCGCACAGCTCTATGCTGTCGCTTTGATCCTATGTGTGCTGTCCTGCGTGCTCCTCACGCATCCCTATATGATGGGCATGATGGTAAGATACTATAAAACGAATCCGAATGCATACTTTCATTAACTCGAGTAATTAACATTTCAGCATCTGGCCATGAAGATGAGGGTGGCCGTCAGTTGTGCCATCTACCGTAAAGCTCTCCGCCTTAGCCGCACTGCCATGGGCGATACCACCATCGGTCAGGTGGTCAATCTGTTGTCCAACGATCTGAATCGCTTCGATCGCGCGCTCATCCATTTGCACTTCCTGTGGCTGGCTCCGGTGGAGCTGATGATTGCCGCCTACTTTCTGTATCAGCAAATCGGACCGGCCTCCTTCTTGGGCATTGGCATCCTGGTTCTCTACTTGCCCCTGCAAACGTATCTGAGCAAAATCACCTCCATGCTGCGCATGCAGACCGCCCTGCGGACGGACCAGCGTGTTCGAATGATGAATGAGATCATTTCGGGGATACAGGTGATCAAGATGTACACCTGGGAGCGGCCGTTCGGCAGGCTTATCGAACAGTTGCGCCGCAGCGAGATGAGCTCCATTCGTCAGGTGAATTTGCTACGTGGCGTTCTGCTGTCCTTTGAGATCACCCTGGGACGCATTGCCATCTTTGTCAGCCTCATGGGGTTTGTCCTTATGGGAGGTGAACTCACAGCGGAGCGAGCCTTCTGTGTGACGGCCTTCTACAACATTCTGCGGCGGACAGTGGCCAAGTTCTTCCCCTCTGGAATGTCACAGTTTTCCGAACTATTGGTCTCGCTGCGCCGCATCAAGGCCTTTATGCTGCGCGACGAGCCCGATGTGGATCATATGCCGTATCAAGCGGAAGAAGAACCCGCCGAAAGCCAACATTTGCTGACAGAGAAGGAGCAGAAATCAGATCAAATCGCAGATGGATATAAGCCCGATGTTCTAGTGGATATCAAGGATTTAAGAGCACGCTGGAGTCCAGAGCCCCATGAGCCAGTCCTGGACAACATCAACATGACACTGAGACGCCGGCAATTGGTGGCCGTCATAGGACCAGTGGGTGCTGGCAAATCCAGCCTAATCCAAGCCATTCTAGGAGAACTGTCTCCCGAAGCGGGAGGTGTCCATGTGCATGGCAGATTCTCTTATGCCTCCCAAGAGCCGTGGCTTTTCAACGCGTCCGTGCGGGACAATATTCTGTTCGGTTTGCCCATGGATAAGCAACGCTACCGCACGGTTGTGAAGAAGTGCGCCCTGGAGCGAGACCTGGAGCTGCTGCATGGCGATGGAACTATTGTGGGCGAGCGTGGAGCATCGCTGTCGGGTGGCCAGAGGGCGAGGATCAGCCTGGCCAGGGCTGTGTATCGCCAGGCGGATGTATACCTGCTGGACGATCCCCTCAGCGCTGTGGACACCCATGTGGGTCGGCATCTGTTCGATGAATGCATGCGGGGATTCCTGCGCCAAAAACTAGTAATTCTGGTCACCCATCAGCTGCAGTTCCTGGAGCAGGCCGATCTGATTGTGATCATGGACAAAGGAAAAATCACGGCCATCGGTAGCTATGCGGAAATGCTACAGAGTGGCCAGGATTTTGCTCAACTCTTGGCAGAGAGCACCCAAAATGAGGAGAGCGGAGCTGGCGATGTTGAGGAGAACAATAAGTCACTCTCCCGCCAGAGCAGCACTCAAAGCACGGGCAGTGCCTCCTCCCAGGATTCGTTGGTGCCACAGGAAAAGGAGAAACCGAAGCCGAGTTCGGTGCAGGTGCAGGAGTCGCGAAGTGGTGGCACGATCGGCCTGGCAATGTACAAGAAATATTTTGCAGCGGGCTGCGGGCTGATAACGTTTGCCCTGCTGGTGGTCCTGTGCGCTGGCACACAACTCCTTGCCTCTGGCGGGGATTACTTTCTGTCCTATTGGTGAGCAATGGAATATATGATCAAAGCAAACTTTAATAAGTACAATTATTCTTCTTACAGGGTAAAGAACAATGCCACGTCTTCTTCTTCGTTGGACATTTACTACTTTGCTGCCATCAACGTTTCGCTGGTGATTTTTGCTATGCTGCGCACGCTGCTGTTCTTCAGCATGACCATGCACTCGTCCACAGAGCTCCACAACACCATGTTCCGGGGTGTGTCGCGAACGGCATTGTATTTCTTTCACACAAATCCCTCCGGAAGGATCCTCAACCGGTTCGCCATGGACCTTGGGCAGGTGGATGAGATATTGCCCGCCGTGATGCTGGACTGCATTCAGATATTTCTAACGCTGACGGGCATCATCTGTGTTCTGTGCCTCACCAATCCCTGGTACCTAGTCAACACCATCGCCATGGTGCTGGCTTTCTACTATTGGCGGGAGTTCTACCTCAAGACGTCGCGAGATGTGAAGCGCCTCGAGGCGGTGGCACGCTCGCCCATGTACTCGCACTTTAGTGCCACGCTCAACGGCCTGCCCACGATCCGGGCCTTGGGCGCCCAAAGGACACTGATTCGGGAATACGACAACTATCAGGATCTGCACAGCTCCGGCTACTACACGTTCATCTCGACCAGTCGTGCCTTTGGCTACTACTTGGATCTGTTCTGCGTGGCCTATGTGGTTTCGGTGATTCTCAATAGTTTCTTCAATCCGCCAGTCGGCAATCCCGGCCAGATTGGCCTGGCCATCACCCAGGCCTTGGGCATGACGGGAATGGTTCAGTGGGGCATGCGACAGTCGGCCGAGCTGGAAAATTCAATGACATCGGTGGAGCGTGTCCTCGAGTATAAGAATTTGGACGCAGAAGGCGATTTCTCATCGACAAATGACAAACAGCCTCCTAAGAGTTGGCCAGAAGAGGGTCAAGTGGTGGCCAAGGATTTGAGTCTGAGATATGCGCCCGATCCCGAAACGGACACCGTGCTCAAGTCTCTGAATTTTGTCATCAAACCGCGCGAAAAGGTGGGCATCGTCGGACGCACGGGAGCGGGAAAGTCCTCCCTGATCAATGCCCTGTTCCGACTGTCCTACAACGACGGATCCATTCTGATCGATAAGCGAAACACGAAGGAGATGGGTTTGCACGATCTGCGCAGCAAGATCTCAATCATTCCACAGGAACCGGTGCTATTCTCAGGAACAATGCGCTACAATTTGGATCCCTTTGAGCAGTACCCGGATGATAAGCTGTGGCAGGCCTTGGAAGAGGTATGATTTGGAATTACTCTCATAATATTTGAAGGAGACACTCATGCTTTCATCTTTTTTCAGGTGCATCTCAAAGAGGAAATCTCCGAGCTGCCCACGGGCTTACAGAGTAGCATCTCCGAAGGGGGAACAAACTTCAGCGTGGGTCAGCGTCAGTTGGTGTGCCTGGCCCGTGCCATTCTGCGCGAGAATCGCATTCTGGTGATGGACGAGGCCACGGCCAATGTGGATCCCCAGACGGATGGCCTCATCCAGACCACCATTCGCAACAAGTTCAAGGACTGCACTGTCCTGACGATAGCCCATCGCCTGAACACAATTATGGACTCGGACAAGGTTATGGTTCTGGATGCTGGCAGAGTTGTGGAGTTCGGATCCCCCTACGAGCTCTTGACCGAGTCCGAGAGTAAAGTGTTCCATGGCATGGTTATGCAGACGGGAAAATCCAGTTTCGAGCATTTACTTAAGGTGGCACAGGATGTAAGTACTACTAAATATTCATTTATAAGAAAGTGTTCATTTTTACATCATTTCAGGCCCAGAAAAGCATCGTCTAACATCCGCAGTCGAATACCTCTACAAAACTATAGCAGATACGTGCTAACATGACAATATTTGTGTTCTATATGGAAACAGTTACTTAAGTGTTACATAGTGTACTTAAACGTTTAAAAAGAAATTAAAGAACAAATATAATTTTCGACCAGCTGTAGTTTGGATCCAACTTTGCTGAAATCACATAGTATGGTGAACTTCATTTTATTTTCAGTTTTTTACAATTATTTAAATGGATTTTATTTGTTGCTTTTTTTAAATTGGTTTTCAAAAATATTTACCGCTTTTACAGCACTGAAAAGTGCGAACAATACCAAATTTGGTATATTTTGAACAGCTGATTTCTTGCACAGATTGGCAGTCCTCATGTCACTTATTTCTGGCGCCAATTTCATTTGCCAAAAGTTGGCAGCCACTGCATATTATTTACCGTTCCTTTTGCTTATTTTTAAGTCGGCTTTGTTCTAATAATTGTGCTAATAATGAGTGTTTTTAGTTTAATACTCGGTTAGGAATAGTGTTCCGAGCGTGCGCGATGTGCGGGTTGTTAGAAGGGCATGCTGAATGGATATTCTGGCTTAAAAAAAAGCCGCCAACAAGAGTTGGACAAAAGGCGCCATTTATGCTGATCACGTTTCAGTGTGAATTTACGATGGAAAAACACCTGAAATCATTGGGTAAGTAATATATATATAAGTAATATATAAATATGGGCACACATGCCACAAACATTTTGACTAAAGTTAGGAATTTCTAACAGTTGAGGGTCCTCCGGCGCCGCTGTGCCAGATCCGTGGTCTCACCGCATGGCATGGCGTTCCTCCGTGTTAACCTTTTACGACGAATTATTGAATAAATAGTTCTGCACACCGAAAGGGGTTCACTACAGCAAATGAATTATACAACATGCAAGCCCGGACCCGGACCCAGACCCGCACGTGACACCCAACGACCCACAGTCATAAAGTTATATTTTTGTTGTTGTTGCCGTCCTGAGCTCATCATCGGCTTGGTGGCGTGCGTGCGCACTCGACTCGACCCGTCGTCGCCGCTGCCGTTGCCGCCGAGACAATCTGTGGCCTAGCCGGGCTTATAAATGATGCACACAGCGGCACTGGAGTGGGCGTGGGGCGGCCACGGCTGTGTGGGTGTGGGCCGTGTGCTCTGCGGTGGTGGTGGCGCAGACGTAACTCTTAAGTTCGAGACTTCAACGCTTCGATTGTCGGGCTGTAATTCAACGCCATTTACGTGACCCCCAACCTTCGCAGCCGCCGTCGACAGTCGTCGTCTGTGCTGGCTGCCGCCGCCAGGCAACGCAGCATGCTGCCAGAAATGATTGCTCTGCAGCATGGGGAGTGGCGCCTCGTCTCGTCACGGCTCGCCCCCTCCTTCCTTTTCCTCGATGCGTTTTTGGGGTTGTGCAGGCAATGCCGTGCCGCGTGCTGTGACGCCGGATAAGGTCCAACCTTTGACAAGGACTCCAGCGAATGGCTTCTGCAAGGCTTGCATAATGTGTCCATGCCTATAGCCGTAGTCAAGGGGTTGAGCGGGACTCCCTGCAACGCTAGTCAAATGGAGTGGCAACTTCCTCATGGACTCGGAAATCTAAGAGTTAATTGGACAACTGATTGGATTAATAATCAACTGCGATTCTGGGATTGTGGTGATTGAAACAGATTCAAATTCAATATGTTCTTAGGGATCGTTTTATAACATCTAGGCAGGCTTTGATAAAAATGCCTCAGATAAGTCCCCATACAAATTTTACTGAAACTAACAAAATTTTCCAATGGCTTAAAGATTTGGTTTTCCTATTCAAAAGATCAACAAATTCAGAAAAAAATCTCGCTCTGACTACCATCGCCATGTCAGACGTTGAGACGACGTTCGATCGCCTGTTGAAACTGCCGGGCGTCATGGGGGCTATACTGGTCAATGGCGAAGGCGAAGCCGTTCGCACATCCATGGATTCTACGTCTAGCAGCATATTTGCCGGAAAAATGCGACCGATGGTGAAGATGGCACGGGCGCTAGTGCACGAGGTCGAACCTACGGATGAGCTTACGTATCTGCGTATGCGAACCCTCAAGAGTGAGATTCTGGTGGCCGCTGAGAACGAGCACATGATCATACTCGTACAGGATACGAATATTTTGGATGAGGCGCGTAGGAATAGCTCATCGTCGTCCAAGAAGAGTGAATGAATTCTGTATGCAATGTGACCATCTTTCCGCCACTCCTCTCCACGCAGCCCCTCCAGCTCCCCCCAGCTCCAGCTCCCCCTCCCACTCCATCCATCAGGTGGAAGAACTAAAAAATAACAAAATGAACAAAAAGTGCGCAGTGCACGTCATGTGGGCAGCATAAACAAAATGGCATAAACAAGCTGCGCCAGCGGGGGGTGGGGGTATGAAGAGTCTTTGCACGAACTCCCGCTTCCCTCTTCCCTTCCCCGCCGCCGCAAATCCCAAGCACAGAGCAATACAACAAAAGTAAAATTGTGAGAGCAGAGAAAAAGAAAGCACGCAAAAATAAAATTCACATCCAGGCGAGGCAAATTGTATTTGCTTTTTTTTTTCGTTCATCGGAGTCGTAGTCGGCGGCGGCGGTGGCGGCGTCGTCCTCGTCCTCGTTGCCTCCTTTGGCCTGTGTCCTGTGGCCCCCCACCCTCCCCCCTTGCCGCGTTCGTTCCAATTGCTGGCAACAACCGGCTGCCGTCACGCCATCAAGCATTCATGCCAGCAACAACAACAGCAGCACAAAACCGAGGGCCAGGAGCAGGGCAGCCTGTCGCCTGCACACTCGCACACACCCACACATACGCACGCACACCGAGGCAAAAGCTTTACACGCCTCCGCACGCGTCACACGAAAGCACGAAACCAATTTAAGCACCCACATTCTCTCACCCAATTAGTCGCACACAGCACAGCAGCAGCAGCAGGAGCAGGAGCAGGAGCAGCACATCGTCCCCTGCTCCCAGCCCGCTTCATCGTGCGCTTCGCCTGTCGCTGTCCCCATCCCCTGTTTTCGTCCCACGCACACACACATACACTCTGTGGGGCTTGTTGTCCTCCTCCGCCGAGTCGTTATCCTCGCGTGCGCACGCTGCATACTTTCTGGCAGGGACACGCTGCTGGATGCGATGTCTATATTGGGCTTTGGGGCAAAATATGTCCTCTTTAAATCCTTAAATATTTATTTCTTCTTTTTTTTAAAGCAAACCCTTTCACCGATCGTTTACCAAGTCATCCCCAAACTAGTTTACAATACTTTGAAACCTGTTAGAAAATACAGCCATGTTTAGTTTTAGAACATGATCTAGATTGAGAACACACTTAATCCTCGTGCCGTTTTGCAACACTCTTTCAAAGCCCTAATCGAATGGATCCGTCTTCAGTTTTAGAACATGATCTAGGTATCATTTAGTCCACACTTCAACCGAAGAATTACTTGTTGTTGTCATTGTGCCATCATCAACGCCATAAGTAGCAGTCAGCAGTTGCCTCCGTCAGCGCCAGTAAGTTGTCGAAGAGATGGTGGGATGGGGGCCAGGATACAGTGGCACTGGCAGAGTGGGTGGAGAGTTTGTGCGCAGCCACAAAAACACCAACAACAAAGGGATGGGGTGTCTGTGTGTGTACGTATGTACGGGTGTTGGTGTACGGATGGGGACGACCAACAAGCGACACGATAATCTCGCACGTCGCATTTTTAGTTGCCGCTGCCGTTGCCGTTGCCGCACCCACCGCACTGCCGGCTCAGCCAGCACGAGTCCTGGAGTCTGGCTCTGGCAGAAAGCCAAATGTGGCAAGTGGCTGCTCCTGCTCAGTTGTGTGCCGCCACGGGGGGAGAGAGTGGGGCACGGGACCGAGTTTCCTGGAGTGGGTCCGTGTGGTTGGGTGTGAGATTTTGTGTCTGCGCGGGGCGAGCGACCGACAAATGCTTTCGAATTGCCATGACAATCAAACCGCTTACAAGTACAGTGGGATAATATGCTAGGATCTTCGCCATTTTCTCACCCAATAATGTATGATCACATTTTCCAACACTGTTTTGGCCTGCATTACAATACAATCAGTGGTTTATAAGATTTACTTTTAGCTAAAATTTCGATTATTTCCTATTCCAGGATAAAGAGCAATCATGAGTGTTGTAGCATACTTGTTGGGGTATTTTTCGTATTTCTCTTCCAGCTGATTAAGGGACCAGAGCACGTTCTGTGCCCCACAACGCCACGCTTCAGTTTCAGTGTGCGCGCCTTTTTCATGCCGTTTCGCCGCAGGCTCTCGTCTTGAGTGGTGCGGTGGTGACGGTACGGATGTGTGTGTCCCGCGCTCGCGCTCGGTCTGGGTCTGTTTATTATCGCCAGCACCCATCAACGACCTCAACTCAACTCGCACCCGCCGGTGCCAGCCACCCTCCCCACCCCCCCCCTGCAACGCGGGTGCAGAACTTTGTCGTTGTCGCCGCCACCGCCACCCCCGTCGCTCCCGTCGCTCCCGTCACCCCCGTCGCCGTCGTGTTGTCAGGCGAATTCCGTTGCCGCCAACGATGACGATGACAAATAAAAAACTTTGGCACGGCACGGAAGCATGCTGGCGGCATTCGCATAACGATGTCGGTGACTGCGACGATGACTCCTTCTCGGCGGAGGCCTGGAGAGGTCCTCCAACTCCTCCTGCCCCACATCCACCCAATCGCTGCCCATGCTCAAATCCTACTTATAGCCGTAGCCCAAGCCCCGGGACCAGAGCCCCAGACTGGCGCACTTTTGAAGTTTGAGCTAAGTGACATGCTGTTTATTGTTGAGAGTGTTAAAATGTGCGCCCTGAATCTACACGGTGGCGTTGTGTGAGTATGTGTGTGAGCTTCTATGCGGAGCAAGAAATTATAATGCCAAGCTTGAACACCGCACGCGCAGGCCGCAACGCCTTAGCCCGAGGTGCACAGGACAAAAAAAATACCTACTAGATAGATATTTGAATTCGAGGCTTGTGGCAGCTATGTACATAGTATATAGATAATAGGATTAAAGGACAGGTACTGATTGGGAGAGGAAGATCGCGAAGAGAGCAAAACAGGCAGATATGCTCTCTCGCAGAGTCTATCAAGCTAGCCCAAGCTTTTTTTCTCATTACCAAAACTACTCCTGTTAAATTCGAATTCGAATTACACCAAAGAGAAGAAAAGAGATGCAGGTCGATAGCGAGTTTTTCTTTTAGTGTATCTTTTCACTAAAGGTTCTGCATGTTACGGTTCACGTTCTCGCCGCCATGCCGCCATGCCGCCAAATATACAAACAGACAAGCGACGACGGAATAGGAATGGCTGCTGGTACGACTAGTAGCTATGTAATCCATGAATGTGCCACAGCACAGCACAGCACAGCAGAGCAGAGCACGGCACAGCGCCAAAGTTGCCTGGCGGTTGTGGCAGAAGATGGCAATGGCGATGGCGATGGCTGCCGTCCATTTGTCCGTGGCACGTACTTTAGAAATTCCATGCAGATGTGCGCCGCACGCCGAGACGTGTGTTTTGATTTTCAGGCAAAAAAGGACGATGGCAAATAGCATGGTGCAGGGGAGAAGGAGGCAGAGGGAGGGAGAGGGCGTGGAGAGCAGCCAAGGCAAAGCTCAACGAACGACTGAGCGCGAACCCCAAAGAAAAACAAGCAGCAGGAGGGATTGGGTTGGGGATGGGGATGCGGTTGAAATTGTTGATGGTTGGAGCTGGAGGAATAAGGCTTTGGCTCTGGGACTGCCACTGGCACTGGCACTGGCACTGGCAACGCACGAAAGAGCAGCCAAGCGAGCAAGCCGTGAAAAAAGTGTCGACAAAAACAGCAAAGGCAACCGGCAACAGGACGACGACTCGCAGAGGATGAGTGGAAGGCCCAAAGGAAAACAGCAGCTGCACTTGTTGGTGTGAGTAACGAGCGATGCGGACGCGCCTTTTCTCCTCTGCTTTGTTGTGTGTGTGTGTGTGTGTGGATGGATGTAGTGGGGTTGTGGGGAAGGAGAGTGGAGTGGAGTGGATTGGTGAGTGGGAGGGGTGACCCAACACTAACGGAATAATTGCAGGCAACTCTCCGACAACACATACACATGCACACACACTCAACGGAAGCCAGACGAACAGGCGGCACCGGCTGATTTCGCACACTCTCACACCCGCACAACGCACACACCCGCACACACAGACAGACAGCCAGCCAGAGGTCGGGTGGCGGGGCGAAGGGTCGAGATGGAGCTTACTCCTTATTGTTGTGGCTGTGGGTGTGCGGATGGATGTGGGGATAGATGGTAGAGGTGGGAGTGTGAGTGGAACAGCAGCAGTTGCTCTCCATTTCCATGGTGTTTGGCGAGTGTCGTCTGAAGCGTGGATGTTGCTCTAGTAGTACACCCTGCTATTGGTCAATGTGTGGGGTATATTGTATCTCCGATAAAACGATTTCAATCTAAATCAATTTGTTAAAAGCGGAAGAAATTACCCAAATGCTGACTAAACTCCAATAAAGAGAGGAAAATACAGTTAAAACTGTTCGAATTTTAAATTCGAATTTTCGAAGAATGTGAACTGTTTCGATCGTGTACCTCTGATCGATAAAGCGATATTTCGACCATTTCCAACACTTTCGTGTTTGAATTCAAATTTGAATTTGAAAAGTTTTAGCCTAAGGATTTCAGTAGGTATTCCTATAGCCCAAAGACAACCCAATCCGCTTGTTGTTGTTGCCGTATTTAGGCATTCCATGACTGTGCTGTGGCTGCTTCTGGTTGCCTTGAAGCATTGGCATGGCATGGCATGGCATAGTATGGCTTTTTAGCCGCAATGCCGCTGCAGTGGTGTGAGTGTGAGTGTGAGTATGAGTATGAGTGGTGTGGTGTGGTGCTCCACGTCCGCCCATTCATCCGTTACGTGCGACCGTCTGCTGGTTGTGTCGCCCCTTGGCATGCCCTGATCCCTGCTGCCCGTTACGGACGCTTCCTCCCGTGGCTGGTTACATGAGAAAACTTTGAAACTGGAGACATGATAACGGGATCGGAATGGTGAGACGCAGCACACAAAACAGTTGGACGTTGGACAGCATGGGACGGACATGGACACGGAACACGGACAAGGGACACTGGACACCGACATGGACATGGACACGGGACACGGACATTGGCGACCGACTGGCCCCGGCCTGCAGCAGCCAGCCCCAACGAGTGGCGGTGGCAATGTCTGATTGTTAGTTGGATTTGGACTTGGCTTGGGGTT